GTCAATTATAAAGTTCTTTCAACAAAAGATCTTAGTTTGTGATAACATTAAGTTCTTTCAACAAGCAATTTTTTGTTTATGATAAATGCAGTGGGTATGAAACCAGGCACCAGAATGTCTGCCTTCTGTCCTTGACCACACTTGGGTCTTGGAAGCCTTCCAGACATTCAATGTTACTCATACTGGGATGTTGCAAAGTCCCCCTCTCTGTTGCAATAGGGTATTCATCCAAGAGGCTTTTAAAAACGTATTGTGACACCTTTTAATATCTTGACTGTTGAGGCTGACAACTTCTTGGCAGCCGACGGTGGCTTGAGAAAGTGGGCCTGGACGTGTGAGTTCCGATTTACCACAATGGACACTGAAGACTTGCACTTCCCACACGCTATCTTCAAATGAAACCATGCCACCGGCACTGACAGCTTTCTCCTCCGAACTATGGTTCCTTTCATAAAGCTTGTCTATGATTCGAATAAAAGACACGAACTATCAGATACAAGTGGGGACCAGATGTGTGAGGGTTCTCCTCCCTTGCCTGTACCAGACAGGGCAGGCATTATGCTGTGTGTTGTACAGCTGAGATAAACACTGTGCCCATGGTGTTCATCACCCCTCCCCTCCCCACCCCACACAAACACATTTAGCCTCATCATCACCACATTTTCCAGCTGAGGGGAAATTTCAATGTTCCCTGAAGTCTAATTGAAGAGAGGTGTACACAGCCTCTTTGAAAACTTTCTTCTAGAGTCTTTTGGAATTCTCATTAAATTTGGCATCATCAACAAAAGACTATTTCTGCACCCACCAAGGTTACAAGGTCTAAAAGTCTTATGTAATTTCCTTTTCTATATGTATGACATAGCCACACACACATAGTATGTGCAAGGACAAACTCTCCGGAAACGAACAAACTGGAATGTAGTAACCATAGCCAAAAGGCTAAAACTGAACATGATTCAAGGAAAACATGAAATCTGGCTGCTAACAGGGTAACCTCTTCATTTTTTTTCAAGGATTTCTAAACTGCTTCCTTTCTATTGTTAGAAAAAACTAGTCAAGGGACAACCCTGGGTAGTTTGACTTTGAGCACAAACCAGGGTGTTACACTATACCCAGGACATTGAAACTGCAAAGATTTAGTAGAAATATTTGCAGGGCCTTTACAGCAGGTGGTATACTCAACAGGTATTCTGTCCTCTGATCTCAGTGGGAGTTGAGAGATAAATACTATACGAGGATGTTAAAACAGGACTGTCTTGAACTTCCTTGGTCTACAACTGTCTGTTGTTCTTCCCAGCGCAGGCAGGAGTCAAGGTGAAATATCAGCTAAGGAGACGACAGTGACGGGTTGCTGATAGGATTTGTTGCGGTTTGGACAGAGGTGGGGGAGAGTGAAGGAAGTTGGCACAACATCTGGGAGAGACAGTGGCACAGGCTGACTCTTCCCATCAATTCTGGGGCAAAAAGACCCGTCAAGCCTGTCTGTTCGAACTTGGAAGAAGAGGCAAAGATGAGGAATTACAAATTTCTGTACAAACTTATATGAATTCAACTATTGCTGATTGCATAGCATTTTTACATTACCGCAGTCTAGTGGTACCCCCATTTCATTCATCAAGCTAATAATACTAGTGCAATAGTAAGTTGATAAAAGCTTCTAGCCAACCTATCTTTCTGTTTCCTATTCCTCCCTAATAGCCCCCTGGTGCTCCCCCAAGCATCCACATGTGTCTTCAAGTTTGCAGCAGTCTATATTTGTGCCAAATAGATCACCCAGGAAGCCAAAGCTATTGCCCCTTTAATTTTGTACAAGGCATGGGTGTAGAGAGGGTCACAACATGTTTAAATCTTAACTACTCATCTACTTTACCTCCTAAGGGTTTCATTTGTGGCCTGTTCAACCCTGTTCTGTGGTCAGCCAGCTGTGGTGTGACCAGACAGCTTCAATGTCACCTTTGCCCAGAGGAAGGCACTCTGGTGACCCAACTATCATTTCCAACTGTTTAGCCTTCATGGAGGTTGGTGCAGCACAATTGCACTTGTCATTTGATTCACCACTTTTACAGTTTGCATCGCTGAAATGAAGAGAGCCATTCCTCCGGTCATAGAGGACAAATTGATAAATCAAGAGTATATCAATACTTTTGTAGCCTGGATTCCAGTTCTGTTAGCTTTAGGTGTAGGCAGGGAAGCATATTTTGGTGAGCGGACTAAAACTAACAAGACTGGACTTCAAGCTTATGTCCTGTTGAATCTTCATTAATGTTACAAACGTTTTAAAGATATTCAATACAATGTGTTGATCAGATAAATTGTTATCCAATGACCACCTTTGAATGTGGTTAGAAAAAAATGACTGCTATGAATGACATGACAAATGCACAAGGCAACTCTGTTAATTGTGGCCCATGAGATTTGAATCTGTGCATTGATCTGGTCAAATTGAATGTCCTCCAGGCCAAGAGTCAGACCCCCAACCTTGAGAGTGGAATTGGAGTTGATTGCCACCAGAGCTTCTGTTCAAGTGGGGAAGAGCAGCCCAGCATGGAGCCAGGAAGCAGGAAGTTTTCGTAACAAGATAATCATTAGAGATCTACTTCTGCATTGTCAAAACGTGGTATCGGAATACACAAATAAGATTTGTTGGGCATGACATACCCCTTTCTATGGCTTTTGAATTTGATTGTGAATCTGGGGCTTTTTAAATCCAGGAAGCAAGATGTTTTGATAATAAGATAATCAATCATAAGAGATCTTCTTATCTTTCGTATCAGATTCCAAGCACATGCAATGTACTGTAGTTCATTATGCATGCCGGGGGGGGGGGGAAAGGCTTTCTTGTTTAGGTAATATTGACCAGGCATGATAAAGCCCCATCCCAATATCTTCCAAGGGCATTTGAGATTGTGTATTGAAAGCTTTTAGATGTACATTCAGAACAGTCCATGTAGTTTATGAAATACCAAGGATATTGAATAAAATGGACAATTTCAAGTGTTGTATTTTGGTCAATAAAATGTACTGTAGTGTACTGATGTTCAAAAGCTAAGGAGACAATAGCCTGGGTTCCAGACCCATAGCACACTGGACACAAAATATCTCAGTAAGTCCACTGAGATATTTTGTGTCCAGTGTGCAATGGGTCTGGAACCTAGGCTAAGGAGACAATGCCCTGCCAAGTTTAATTGATAAAATCACAAATTTAGTAAATCAAGTAAATCAGTTAAACTTTTGTGTTGTAAGTAATACACACTGAATTCTTATGCAAATCAATATATAGCTAGTTGCCAGGGGGCATTTTTGACAGGATTTCACACCTCAATGAGCTAACAAGGCAGTCAATAAAAGGATCACACCAGTTAATTAACGTGATAGTGTCAAACATAAAAGACACTGGATAGGACAGTAACCAATACAAACAGTTTGCTCTCACAATTTGTCAATTATCTGTCGTATTTGTGAGAATGAACCTCACATGATGGTGTGAAGGAATCGTGTGTCGCCTGAGCAATTTTGTTCAGGCATTGACTGCTAAATGCCTTACAATTACATGGATGAGTGGGTGCTGTTAGTCCATGACTGCCATTTATCTGTTAAACTTTACATACTAGTAAAATTGAAGTAGCACTGTCAATGTATCAAATTGATTACCTTTTAAAATGGTAGGCATTGTAAGACAGCACATTATTTGACATGTTCTAATAAGGTGTTACTGCACAGCTCTCACTGATACAGTACTTTTTCCTGCCGTTTGGAAGTCACATCATAGGATCACTGTTGAAATCTATAGAGTTACAACTACAGAAAGGGACAGAGAAAGTTTGGCCACCCAAGAGGATAGATTTATAGAACCTATGCAAGCCAAGTAAGCCCCAAGATGTTGTTTTTTTCAGTTGGTGTAGACAACTTTGGATCCCCCAGACAAGGTATTTAAGAGCTGCCCCAAGACTGCCTTTCTCAAGATTGTGGGAAGTTAAGTGCTGTCACTTCAACGTCGTCAAGGTCAGCACCATTTGAAGAGAGTTTGAATTCATCCACATGTATTAGTAATCGGAGGATTTTGCTGCAGAGAGCCGACCATTGTTATAATTCTATGCTGCCGGCAGGTTCAACTTGACGGGCTACAATGTACGCAACGATATCCATTACAACCTCAGGGTCATAAGACAAAGCAACGTACCTGGCCCGATAGACTATCCAAATACTGTACAAGCAGACCCAAATATTTACCTATCCCTGGCTGGGCTTGGCAAAGAAAGGGGGAAAACTGTAAGGAAAACAATCAATTGTTTGGGAAAACCTTTCCCAGCTTCATTCGATGTCGGGTGCGCCACCTCTCTTTGCGTGCAGCAAGGTCTGATTTACCGCGGTTTTGTTCCCCGGCATTCCGTAGACAAATGTTGGCATTTAACCGTTACTTGACTTAGTAACCTTTTTTTTAAATGATAGTCTGGATTACATCCGATGAACAGATCAACAGCACTTCATGCTGATTTTGCAGCGTCGGCCCAGAACATGCCAAAGACTTTCAAAGGAGTCATTAGTAAGATTATCTTCGAGTACACCTGAAGAGAATGTATAGAGAGGAATGTGCATTGAACTTAAGAAAGGACTTGTTTTGCACAGTTGCATCTCTATTCCGAGTAGCCTGGATGCAAGCCTTTTCAGTCTAAGGCAGTACGCCCTCACGGTCACTTACCTGCCAAGAACTTTTTGACAGGGAAGCAACCAAGGCCAAAAGGGATGGCATCCAGGCTATTTTCCAAGCGCACCCTCTCTGGAAATTACCTTGTATTCCACATACGTATGCCATTCTCTGCATCTTTTTTTATGTTCCTCTTTACATTCCTGTATTCGCTGGTTTGGATGATACTACACCCTTTTCAGATGAACACAAGGACAACCATACATTCATACATACACACACAGACACACCAATTATAAACAAGTCAGTTCCAGAATTCCTCTTCAGTATCAATGAGACAATAGATGACACGTACCATTGTCTTGGACCTTGAAGACGAAGGAGTCACTGGTGGCGTTGACATTGTCATGGATGATGTAGTGGATCAACATATCATCGATTTGGCCTGGATAGAGACAATAAAAACATGGTTATTTACAAAACAAAGTGATTGGACAATAAACCTCTTAACAAACACAATAGTGACGAAATATCATCATATATAAATAGCATATTGTATTTTGACTTGTGGTGATAATTTTGTCAAGTAAAACTTGAAACGGACAGCCCTACTTCTGAGCCATGCTGAATATCAATCAGAGAAAGCAAATGTGCAGTAAGCCTTCAGTACAGGTGCCAAAATCAACAACCATTTGTATTTTTGGTCAACAAACCATGTTTGTCTACATGGGAGTGCGCAATATTTAAACTTCAGGTCAAACCACCGTTTACACAAGGCGGACTAGCTGCCCCCCTGTAGCGGGAGGGGGAGAGAGGGGCACACAGATGGAAAAGTGATGGCACTGACAAAGATGGATTTATGGGAAGATGTTGCATGGACATTGCCAATGTCAACAACTTATCAGATGAACCTTTTCACTAGGTACTTGAACATTGACTCAAACCATAACCGTTTCACTTCCATAAATCTCAGGAGAATATACATTTGTGTACCCAGGCAAAAAGTTGACAGGATTGTGCAGTAGCAGCAAGCTACTAGAATCTTGTCTACATTTATATATACTAGATACATTTGTTGGTATCCGGAAGAGTTTGGCTGTAAATGACAGGGAAATTGGTCAAGACACCAAGTAATACATCTGATGCTTCAAAGAATAAAAGAAGATCAAAAGTTCATTGCACAGTAGGGGGGAAAGCTCAGTTCATATGGTCTCTGTGAGGTCCAAGTCAGGCCCCTGTCAGACAGTATGACCTGGAGCCCCCCTCCCCTGACTGCCTGACCTGACCCAGGCATAGTTTGTGATGGGTATAGGATGTCCTGTAAACACAGTGACCCTCTTTGCTATTTTTGTCTGGACATGACAAAGAATAACCAGTACAAACAAACAGGTGTGGTGTGTACGATTAATCAGTATCAAACATGGCTCCCTTTTCATGATTCAATGTGCTACCATTTCTTTTATGCCAGCAGATGTCTATCATAGCATACAAGAGAATGGAGGAACACACATGGACTCAAAACATATGATGTACATGTTACACCTGTGCACCACCCACTCTGCTATTTATAGTACCACATCTTTCACCTTTGCTTTTGCCTTTGCCCCACCCAAGGGTAGGTTTTGAAAGGATACTGTTTATGATACTACAATGAAAGCTCAATTACATTACTGTTTAGTAAAAGCTGGAATGCTAACACATGTCAGGAAAGAGAGGGTAACTCATGACTTTTATAATTAACAGAATATCTGACTTCAATTAGACATTCCAAATTCCTAGTGTCATCACGATCTTTAGGAACATCCTTGACAAATTACCAGCACTGATAAGTAGCAGAAAACCTGACAGTGCCATCTGTGGACAAGCAGATCTGATCATGATAAACTCATCCATCAATCCATTCAATGCTGACATGTAGTCGACTTTCTGCAAGCACAAACCAATAATATGGTCAAGGTTTTTATTCTCTACCTTCTTCCTAATTAGCTTTTTGGGACCAAATGTACTGGACTACTTACATGCCTGAGAAAATACTTCTAATCTCCAAGCAGATCATATGGTGGCAAGGCAGGGTCCACTGGGTAGAGGAGTGTCCATTAGCCACTACTTCCGTGGCCGTACAAACTCCTCTGGCTAATGGATACTGTCTTGCCACCAAATGGGATCTGCTTGGAGATTAGGACTGTAGGGCACTGGTGTCACAGATTGTTCCTTTTCTAGCCCACTTCTGTCACCTCCCCCACATCCTAGTCAAGTACCCAACATCTTCAGGAGGTGATTACTATCTTCTCTCTGATAAGATGGATGATAATGAAGTGGGAACAGGTGTAGACAGTGACACCAGGTGGTCCTAGTATCACTGCACAGTACCATGTAGAGATGATCCTCTACATCCTGCTCTTGTTTTACAGCCCTTTGTTTTGTGGATTAGGGTTGCTGTGTTTAGCATAGGGTTTAGCTGGTGTAATTAGCTGAATATGCTACTGCACAATAGATAGGGACTTGTGGGGCTCAAATAGACTAGGAACCAGGCTAGTTCTATGCAGCCAGTGCTAATGTAAGATTTAAATAGGGCCAGGCAGTTAGTCAATATCACAAGAAGAAGAAGAAGAACTTTATTGACACAACAAAAAGTACAGCGACTTTTGTAAGGTCAAAGACATGTAGATATACAGACAATTATACATGGGTGTGATGTTCGTCCATCGCAGTCGATGGGTATAACGAAAATATCCTACGTACAGAACAATAGGTGGGTCAACTAATACTACTTGTTCTAAGGTCTAAACATTCTTTGATATATTTACCTATTTGTACACAGTAAGGGTTATTGCCTTCTAGGATGAACTTAAATTTATCTATAGCATGAAATGTAACAAATTCTGTTGAGCAGGCGGAGAGAAGGTTGAACAGCTTTGTGCGTTTATCGTTATATAGTGTACAATTCAAAATAAAATGTTGTTCATCTTCAATATCATTGGGACAGAATGGACAAAACCTCTGGTCGCGAGGGATTTTTTTATATCTTCCTAATTCTATATTCAATTTATGGCAAGAAATTCTCATCTTTGTAATCGATCTACGAACTTCAAAATTGCACATCTATGGCATTATGAATCTAGGTAGATGGACAGAATTGTATTTTTCAATTCATTTGTTTATTTCCAGATCTACCCAGACTTACAAGAATTGGATAATTTGCCAAAAGAGAGGGACGTTTGGATTTGAGTGTTAAAACGTGAATTTTGAGCATTTCACCGTAATATTGGACTTATGCATCTAAAATTAAAAACCTCATGCTCAATTGAAAGACCTCTCTTTCCTTCCCCCAGGTGTAAGGGGGACAGTTCAAACACAGGTGTGGGCTAGGCTAATTAGTTAAGCTCTGAACAAACAGAGCAGTCAGCAAGTGGGTCATTTCAAGAGTATAAAACCACTTCTCAGGTCCTTTACACCGAATATACAACAATTACACTCAAGAATTCCTTTGACACAATGACAATGTCCGAGCTTCAAATTTAGGTCCTGGTGCGGCAGTTTTGAGAATTTGAGTCCGATTTCTCTTTGAGTTTTGATTGAAATTAAACCTCTTCATATGTACGAAAAATAGAGAGTCCACTGTAACTATCTGCCCTCAACAGTCTACCTGTTCAGTATCACCTAAATTTGTAACCTACTAACCTGAAAGTTCAACTGTGCAGCCTCTGATCTCAGCATCATTTCCTGCTTAACCGAACATCAACGAGAAGTGCTTTTCCTCTCCTAGCAACTACAAAAGCAAGTGTGTATCTGCTAAACCTCTTTCCTTTGTAATGTCCTTTCAGTATAAAACAACATACAAGACGTGATGTTGTCCACTTGGCCTCTGTGTAAGTTTTGACAAAGCTGAGACCACTTTGATCTATGCCATGCTAGCCTGGGAGCACTCCTGTTCAGGACATCTCTTTCGCTCGAGCTGTTAAAAAGCACACGTAAGGCAGCGAACATCTTGAAAAGAAAGCTTTCTGTTTTGTAATGATGAAGCGGTTTGTCGCCATGACTTCCTATCTCCAACAGTGTGTCTAAGCAAGAATACTAAAAGTAAGTCCTTGAAGTTCTTAATCTTTTCCTCCTTCCAGCTGAATACAAATCCATTTGGACAGATTTCTTAGAGCCAGTTTCTGGGGCAGTACTGAAACTTGCAAGGTACAACCCAGTTTCGTCTATAACTTCTTTCTCTGCATTTCAGCAAATAGCCTAGAAACAAAGTTAGTCCTAAATCCTTACACAAACCCAGTTGTTCCAGAAAAAATCTAAAGCCCTTCATTTCTTCAAAAGGTTCCAATCTAAGCTGGATATAAGCTGTACCTAGCTTGGCCATACCGTTGTCAGTACAAATATTTGGGTAGGGAAGACAGAGCACTGGACAGGGTAGGCAGCTGTCTTGTAGTCCTGTTTGTAGGTGGTGATGCAACAAATATTTGCGAAGACGCTCTGCAGTAGGATTATCAGACTGTATTGGTAGGGAGTCAACATCATAGAGCTACCAATTCAAAATCCAAAGATTTACTGTGCTATAAACTACACAGAATAGGTCTTTACAAATTTTGGGAGAGGAAACATCCTTTCTTAGAGTAATATTTAGACTATCGTGAAGGAAAAAACATTCATCATGCAGTACGAAACTTCTACGAATGTCATATGTGAGGCTGTCATTCCACTCCATTCTTGAGGACTTGCCTTTAATCTATTCCCTACAGTTAAACATTACTGAAAATGGTTGACAAACAATTCACTGTATTTGCTATCATACACATGGTTGAAGATCAGCACGCTGCTTCAGAAAAGTTTTACGAACTTGAGCCCTACATCCCAGTGTATGTACAGGGCTGTGAAAGACTACCCCTCACATCCACCTCTCCACAAACACTCCTGCCTCCTCACACAAACCATGGGCTCTAATTGACCTGATTAGAGCAGACAGGGAGGGCAATGATGGGATTTTGAACAAGTACTGGATAAGCCGGTTGACCCTGCCGTCCCTGAATTCCAGTCATTGTATGCGGACCAAACAAGGTCATGACATGCTGGCTTACCCATAGGTACATCTTAGCATATCTCAAAGGGAACTTATAAATGGATAAATGCACCTCAAAACAACTAGGATTTCCTTACAAAAGGCAAAGGCACCCATTTTAAGTTTAGCATTGTGACACTGACGAACATTCAAGTAGTTTCATCAAAATAGAAAGGACAAGAACATCACCATTCTACTCTTGGAGAGTTCATAGAAATTAAATTTAAAATCAACTTCCATTTTTGATGGCGTATTTTGACAAGATTCGAGAGTGTTTTATACCAAATATGGACTTTTTAAAACAGTAGGCTTGTCAACAGAATGGTAGAGAGTACTAGTATCTTGTCTGCTTCACCAATGTTTAGATGTGGACTGCATGCACGAGCTGC